TTCATCTTGAATACTTAAAACTTATATAATCAGAACATTGTTTTATATATTCCAAAAGATTTATGATTTACAGATGAAAAATAATTAAATGCATGCTTGTGTAATAAAATGGCATTCAGGACATATAACAATAACCCCAGAGTAGCAATCCACGTGGCAATAATACCATACGAGCTTTTAAATCTAATACTTGCCTCTATTAACCTGAACTTAGTAAGGGTAGACAAACTCTTTCTGAAAAAATATTCTTAATTTTTTTCCAAGATGTGCAGCAAAGGGGGAAACACAATTCAATGGAATTGAGAAATGACACCAGAGTGAAAGAATTTATATTTCTGGGTCTTACACAGTCCCAAGACCTGAGCCTGGTTTTATTTCTTTTTTTGTGTTTTGTGTACATGACAACTCTGCTGGGCAACCTTCTCATCATGGTCACTGTGACCTGGGAGTCCCGCCTTCACACCCCCATGTACTTCTTGCTCCGGAATCTAGCCATCCTGGACATCTGCTTCTCCTCCATCACTGCTCCTAAGGTCTTGGTGGACCTTCTGTCAAAAAAAAAGACCATTTCCTACACAAACTGTATGACTCAGATGTTTTTCTTCCACCTTCTTGGGGGGGCAGACATTTTTTCTCTCTCTGTGATGGCGTTTGATCGTTACACAGCCATCTCTAAACCCCTGCACTATGTGACCATCATGAGCAGTGGGAGGTGTGCAGCCCTTATTGCAGCCTCCTGGATGGGGGGCTTTGTCCACTCCATCGTACAGATCTCCTTGTTGCTCCCACTGCCCTTCTGTGGACCTAATGTTCTTGACACTTTCTACTGTGATGTCCCACAGGTCCTCAAACTGGCCTGCACCGACACCTTTGTTCTTGAGCTCCTGATGATTTCCAACAATGGCCTGGTCACTACCCTGTGGTTTATCTTCTTGCTGGTGTCCTACACTGTCATCCTGATGATGCTGAGGGCACAGTCAGGGGAAGGCAGGAGGAAAGCCATCTCCACCTGCACCTCCCACATCACTGTGGTCTCCCTGCATTTTGTGCCCTGCATCTATGTCTATGCCCGGCCCTTCACAGCCCTCCCCACGGATAAAGCTATTTCTGTCACCTTCACAGTCATGTCCCCTCTGCTCAACCCCTTGATCTACACTCTGAGGAACCAGGAGATGAAGTCAGCCATGAGGAGACTAAAAAGAAAACTCTTGCTTTTTGAAAAGGAATAGAAAATCTCAGCTCTTCATCCGCAACAATTCCTTTCATTATATTTTCTATATATTCATATACTCACATATATGGTCAATTAACCTACTACACTTTCTAGGTAACCATCTACTTTCCTACTTATATTAAGAGTAACTGATAACTCAAACTTCTTTTAGACATGAAGAAAATAGTCTTACAGGATTGGGCTGATTAACATAGTTTCAATCAAAGACCAAAGTAATGGTATATCAATCAAAACACTATGTGATTAAACAGAACTTTTTTCTTTTTTAATATTTCATTTATTACTTTTATTTTATGTGTATGAGTGTATTGCCTACATGTATGTAAGTGCACCCATGTTTTGCAATGCCCATGGGGGTCAGAAGAGGGCATTGGAGCCTCTGGAACTGGAAATATGAACAGTTGTTAGCCACCATGTGGGTACAGGGAACTGAACCTCCTGGATCTCTGCAAGGGTAGTCAGTGCTCCTAACTGCTGAGCCATCTTTTCAGGCCCTCAACTCTTTTTTCAGAAGTCTAGACATAGTGGTTCATGTCAGTAACCCCACCTAGTACTTGGACGATGGAAGCAAAGGATCAGAAGTTTAAAGTCTTCCTTGGTTACACAGAAAGTTTGAGGTCAACCTGGACTACATGAAACCCTATATCAGAACATCAGATGAAGATGAAGATGATATCCCCAAAAAAAGTTCTGTACACTAGTGTGTATGCGTGTGTGTATATATATAATATATTTAAATCTGTTGATATTTATAGAAAGGCCATATAGGCTCTGTTACTTTCTATGAAGTAATCAAGCCAGGCAGCTGAAAATTCTATCTTCAGGGTTATACAAGAGCACCAGTCCTTTATCTGCCACCTGTCAGTTTTGTGCTCTTGAGCAAGTTATTTCACCTCTCCAAAGTCATTCATTGCTCACCTACACAAAGGTAGTTATAATATTCATCTCATATAGTTTTAAAGTTCAAACGATATTGTATTTATGAAACATAAGGTGCCTGGCACATAATAAATGCTTAGTGAAAGGCAAATGTCACTGTCCTAACAAATGTCCTAAGAAACCTTCTGCCCCTCATTGACCTGTCACTCTTTCACATTACTAAAGGGACAGAAAAAAAATAGAAAAGTTTGGAAAGAACACTCAATTCAAAACATCTATATCATCTTAAAATTTGCTAGCTGTCATTAAATATGACAATAAATTGGCTTGTGATTTACAAAGCTCAAGGAGGCACTCAGGCTGATGAAAGATACAGCATGAGAGAGTTTTAGCTCCAAAGAAAGTTAAAAATTAGTGATAAGGCCTAGGGACTGGAGGAAAGGCTCACTGGATTAAGCATTTGCCTTGCAAGTGTGAGGACTTGTAGCCCTAGAGCTGGGAAGACAGAAACAGGGGGATCTTTGAGGCTCATTGGCCAGCCAGTCTGGCCTAATTAATGAGCTCCATTCCAGTAAGAAACCCCATGTCAAAGGATGCAGATGAAGAAGTTCCTGAGGATGACCTCTGAGGGCTGGTGGGGTAGAACAGAGCACAGGAAAGTTCAGCACACCATAGAGTGCTGAAGACAAGCTGCATGGATCTCCCTGACCTGATCGCTCTTGGCCCCCTTGTTTTGTGTCTGTTGCTTTTGCTGTTTCCTTTCCCTTTTATCAGTTTGAATTTTAGAATTTCATGCATGAGTACTGTATTAATAACATTTCTGCGCCTCTCCCGCCCCACCTCCAACTACTCACATGCCCTCCCTCTTGAGTTCATAGCCTCTTCTTCTATAATTTTTTTTTTTTTTTGGTCTTTTTGAGACAAGGTCTCCCTGTAGCTCCAGCTGTCCTGGAACTCAGTATGTAGACCAGGCTGGCCTTGAACTCACAGAGATCTGCCTGCCTCTGCCTCCCGAGTGCTGGGATTAAAGGTGTGTGTCACCACGCCAGGCTTCTTCTATAATTATTATTGTTACACATATATCCATAAGTACATATTGTGTGTGTATGTATATGCATAGCCTACTCAGCCCATTTAATGTTGCTCTTATATACATGTGTTTAGGATGCTGCTGTTAGATAGTGTCTTCTAAGACATGACACGGATGCTGCAACCATGAAATCTCAGCAATGTGGTTGCCTAACAAGTCTTGCATAATGACAACACCATAAACATTTACAGTGCTTATGAGCAAGTCTCAAGTGTTACCAGTTCCCATCACCCAGTGTAACTTTTTACGATATTAATTTGCTTCTTCAAACAGAAATTCTAAGAACAATTCGCACTTGCCAAATCACTAATCATAGCTGCCTGCTACCTTTGCTCCAGCAGCATTGGTCTCTAGTCTTGTGCTTTTCTTTACACAATTGCTTAAGAAAAATGCACACCACAAAAGGTGGTGTCACACAAACATTTCCTCTTTCCCTGTCAATCTCTTGCAATTCAATCAAATTGTTGTTATCTCTATATCAGAATCTGATGGCACAAAAGAATCTATAAAGTCTGAGTTATTGGGGCTGGAGAGATGGCTCAGTGGTTAAGAACACTGGTTGTTCTTGCAGAAGGCCCGGATTCAAATCCCAGCACCCACATGGCAGCTAACAACTGTCCTTAACTCCAGTCCCAGGGGATCTGACAGCCTCTTCTGACCTCCTCAGGCATTGCACAACACAGGTGCACTTACCTACATGCAGGCAATATATGCATACACATTAAATAAAATTTAAAAATAAAATAAAGTCTCTGTGGCTAGAGAGATGGCTCAGCAGTTAAGAACACTAGTTGTGTTCTTGCAGAAGATCCGGGTTCAAATCCCAGCACCCACATGGCAGCTAACAACTGTCCATTAACTCCAGTCCCAGGGGATCCAACAGCCTCTTCTGACCTTGTGGGCATTGCATGACATGGTGCACTCACCTACATGCAGGTAATACATGCATACACAGAATAAAAATAATAAATTGTTTTTAAGAAGAATTAAAAAATAAATAAAAATAATAAAGTCTGAGTTATTATACCTCAGAAGCATAGTCCCAAGAGGTCAAGAGCTCTGGAACCACTGCCATATCTTAGTCCCTGGTGACTCCCCTAAATCACGTCTAAACATAACAACATGGCCAGATTCAGTATCCTAGGCAGGAAAAAGTCATTTCATCAGATCATATAAAACATTTGTCTGGGTAATGTAAATCATAAGTTGGGCTCCACTTTTTTTTCATTTAAGTTAATGGGTTTTTACCTACTCTATTGAAATACTATCATCAAATAAAATTGTTCATATTTCAATGTACAATGTGAAATATATATGTACATATATAGTGAAATTATGTATGTTTTGAGGATTTTTAAGCTCTGTTACCAAGAACCTCAGAAGAGTCAAGTAAATCTGTACACGTATAACTTTCAAATCTTTCTTTGGTAAATGTATTCCCTGAATCAAATGCTTCAATGACATGCACCTCTGAATATCCATGAAAAATGTAAAATGTTTATAAAGTAAATAACTTGATGACTATCAAAAGCTGCCACTTTTCTGCCTCCCTAGATTCTGAGGAATTGCAAGTCTCAGATGTCAATTAAAATAGTTGCCTAGAGTCAGGATATGTGTTGCTTTAAAAAGGAAATGAGCCAGGTGTAGTGGCGCACACTTTTAATCCCAGCATTCCAGATGCAGAGGCTGGCTGATCCCTGCGAGTTCAAGGCCAGCCTGGTCTACATAGTGAGTTCCAGGACAGCTGGGGCTACAGGGAGACCCTGTCTCAAAAAGACCAAAAAACAAATAAATAAATGAATAAATAAATAATAAATAAAAAGGAAATGAGCATATTGAACCTACACGGTCAAGCTCAGAGAACTGCTCTGACAGAAGCCACAGAGCTTTCATTTTCCATTGCCACCCTTTTGCTGAAGTTTCATTTCCCAGTTGATTTCAGGCAAAGTAACTTTGACCAAGAGGAAGATTGCATGGTCCTTGGTGTGGTTTAATGCAATATTTTCTTCTTGATGCAAAAAGAAAACTCTCCTGTGCTTATTCCAGAGGAAAGACTATGTCCCAAATGTGCCTCTTTCATGTTGGGGGGGGTAGAGGACCAAGGGAAAAATGGAGAGGGGGGGGCTGGCATTCTAATGACTCCCATGGGAGTCCCACTGCGTTGGCCACCGTGTTCACATTGGTCCCCAGCAATATTCCCTTTGCTTGCCTTTGGTAGCCAAGTCACACTGCAAGGCAGAAGAGTCAGAACCTTGTGATGTGATTGCCTGAGGTGGCTTTTCTTATCTAAAAGAAGATAGAATACTAGTCTTGAAGCAGGCTTCATGGTACACATAGAATTCCCCCCAAGCATGCTCCTAAGACGCATCCAGAGGACTAGAAGACCAATTTCCCATTTGGAAGTTAAACCAACAATGGATTTCTGAAACTGTTAGCTATGAATGTTGACTTTTCAGAACGGCTACAAGTGTACAGAATGTTCTAATCAAAGCCTAGACTCTTAATGAAGGAAAGGGGAGTGATAGTTTCTCACTTTGAGGAAGGTGGAAAGTATAACTTACGAAATATAGGAAGAAGGTTAGTTAGGTCCAGGGAAGGCACCCACATGTGACTTGGCAGGATGTGTTAGGTTCAAAGTGAATTGAAAGTGGCTGAGAAGTCTCTAACACAGCTGAGGAAGGTGGCTTCCTTGGAAAAACAGCATTTGAAGCAGTAGCTCAGGAGGTCAATATATGGAGTCTGACCAGCTTGGCCTCTTGACCAGGAATAGAAGTCTAGAAGATTTGAGTTTGTTTTGTCATGTTGGGAGTCAACCTCAGGACCTTGCACATACTAGGTATGCACTGAGCCAAATCCTTCATCCGAGCAAGGTATTTTAGTGACTGCCTCTTTTCTCGATGCCAGCACGTGTCACTGAATGTGAACAATGTTTCAAAATTTTTAAGATTCAATCAATGCTAGGGTACTTTCAAAATTGAAAAAGAGACCACCACATAAGAGACACTCTAGGAAGTCAACTCAGTATA